AGCCAGCACCGCCCTCGACGCGGCCGCATCCGCCGCCAGGCGGGCGGCACGCTCACGCGCAGCCGCTGCGCGGCGCGCCGAGGGCAGCGTGTTGCAGCGCGCCTTCTCGCGCTCCGCCTCCGCCCTGGCGGCCTCGACGCTGCGCCGCAGCTCCTCTATTGCAGCGGCGTCCTCCCGCCGCTGCTGCTCCGCTGCCTCCTTGCACGCCGCGTGCTTGCCCCGCTCCAGCGCGAACAGCCGCCGCGACTCATCCCGCTGCGCCTTGAACGCCTCGGCCTGCCGGGTGGCCTGGTTGACGGTGAGGGCCGGCCGGCCTGGGGGAAGCTGCAGCAATGAATGGGCGGGCAAGGGGTGGGGGAGCAGGTCACTAACAGGTACCATCCATGGTGGTTGGATGGAGAATCAACGCAGCGCAAGCCAGTCGCACGTGCACGCCGCTACCTGCTTCATTACGCTATCACCAACTCAAACGGCGCACCCATTGTCTACGTTAACCCTCCAATCTGGCCTCGGCGCAAGGCTCCTCACCGGGAGCCAGGCGTCAAACCAGTCCATCGCCTCTGCTGCAGCACATGCCGTCAGCGCCGCATGCTGCGCCGCGCCGCCACCCTCCGCCTGGGCCCCCTGCTCCCCCACCACACCCCTCCCAGCCTGCGCCGCGCCGCACTGGCCGCGCTCTGCACGCACAGCAGCGCTCGCGGCACCACCGCTGCCACTCGCTGCGGCCCCCGCACTGACCAACCCCGTCTCAATCCCTGACTCTGGCACCCCCTCGTCCGCGTTGCTCCCTGCCCTGGTCTCATAGCGCTCTGGCGCCGGCACCGCGAAACCCTTCTCTCCGTCGCAACCCTCGCCGCACCCCTGGCATTCAGCCAGTGCTGCGGCGTCTGCGTGCCCGTCGCAGCTGATCGCCGTGCCGACCGCGCCGGCCACTCCCACGTCCCTCGCTGGCACGCCCACGCTCTCGCGGCCCTCCTCCCCCTCCCGGTCCTGTGCCGCCACCACGGCCGCGCCCTCACCCTTGCCGCCCTGGCTGCCCGCGCCGCCCTCCAACGCAGCCGCGGGCTTGTACTCCGCGCTCACCACCACCTCGGAGGCAACCAGTGTGCCGTTGGGGGCGGCAGGGGCATGCTTGTTGCTGGTGGCGAGGGCCTTGGTTACGGCAGACTTTGACTTCTTTGCGGCGGCGTCCTGGGGGATTGCGCAAAGTTGTTGCAGGATTGAGCAGGCCGGTCAATGCAGCGTGCGCACAAGAAGAGGGGATGGCGTTGCAAAAAAGAGGGCAAGGTGCACACAGCATGGTCACAACATCGTCTTCGGTGGCGCTTGGCAGGAAAATGCACCCTACAATGGCCTGCAAGACCAGTCTAGCCATTCGGACCGGAAGATATAAGGGATGCAGTGCTCCCCGAGACTCAGACACACCCACCATTTGCTACCTTTCAGCGCACGCAACCCGTCGTCTGCTGCCCCTCTCGCCCCTCGCACCTTGGTGCAGGCCGCCTTGTGGGTTGCCGTCCTCCTGCCTCCCACCACCCGGCAGGCCCCCGCGGCGCTGGCGACCTTGCCAAATGCAGCGGGCTGGTCCTGGACGCTGCTTGATGCCTGGGGATGGTGTGGGAGTCATGTTGGCATCCCGTCCAGAGACCCATGCAGTTCAGCGCTTCCACGCAGCCTTCTTCTGGTGTGTGCAGAGTTATTGGGATCTTCACCCGCATTCACTACGAGGGCAATCAATGCAACAACCGGGCATTGCAGACCCACCTCCTTGGTGCCGGGTACACCGTTGGCAGCGGGCGCCTTGACCCCGGTTGCGGCGGCGCCGCTGCCCTTGGCGGCGCTGGAGGGAACCTGTGGTTGCCAGATTGGGGCGTGAGTTGCGTCCCACGCATACGCGTTCCAGACCAGGCCAAGCAACATGATGAGGAAGGCTGCATCGTCCTGCACGACAGGAAGAGGCAGATCAATCAGACCCGGTTCAAACCCACCCACAGCCAACGCTACCTTGGAGGTGCTCTTCTTCTTGCCACTCTTGCCCTTCTGAGCCTTCTCGCTGATATGCGCGTTGCCCCCGGTGCCACTGCCAGCATGCGGCGCGGCCTTGTTGCCGTTGTCCTTGGACTTCACGTTGTCCTCGGCCTTGCTGCCGGCCAACACCTGCTGTGTTCGATGTGAGTTTGCGGGCACGTGGATTGCAGCAAGGGGCAGTCATCAATGACAAGCGTGTGGAATTGTCTTGCCCACCTCACTATCAATCTGTGAAAGGGACAGCAAGTGTAACAAGCTCTTGCACAAGGTCAAACGATACTGTCTGCTGTCCATTGTGTTGGGACGCGGCGCACCAAAACGAGCCGCTCAGAGCACGGCGGTAGGTTGGCGTCCGTCTCACCAGCACTCGTGGCCCACCAGGCCTGCCCAGGCTCACCTTGCCGTCCCCGACAGCACCCTCAGTCTCCGCATGTGCCGTGGCCCCGCCCGTTGCATGCTCGCCCGTGCCGCCGCCCTCCCCCGCGTTCGCGCCCAGGCAGCCGCCGCCCTCGGCCCCAACCAGCTCCTCTGGCACCGCGGCTATGACCGCCGAGGGCCCCCTGGTCATCAGCACATCAGCGTAGGAGGCGCTGCCCCACGACGCTACTGACAGCCGGCGCAGGGGGTCGGCATTTGCATGGCTGCAGTCGCTGCTGCTGGGTGCAGGCTTGGGGTTGACAGGCGCGGATGTGGCCCTGATGAGGACCTTGATACCGCCGCTGGACGCCTGCACGGCGATATTCAAAGAGAAGTTGGCATAATGAGCGGGGATGATGAAATGTCTGGCGCAGGTTCAAGGGTAGCAGATGCATCGGCTCATTCCTTGGGGGCTGTTGTGTTGGCCCCGCGCCTGGCGCGGCTTATGAAGCACACCTTGTTTGTGGGCGGCAACGGGGAGCTTGCCGCGCCCTTGAGCCGCGCCTTGCTCAATCCCTTGCCCGCCGGCGCCGCCTCCTTGGAGGGCGCAGCGTCGGGTTTTGACGTAGTACTGCTGGCGGGTGTGGTGGGGGTGTTCTTGCCCTGCCAAGCAGGTGAAGCATAAGGCAGGGCAGAATGAGGACGGCTTGATGGGTGTGTATGCCCAGTACTCTAACATAGCCCATCCATAATCTCATCAACTCTAAGTGGCCAGTACACGACAGGCTGAGCTGGCACATGTGGCGGTATGTTGGTGGAGCGGCTCTCGCGTCTTACTCAAGTCATACTCAGGTCTGGCGTGGACTTGTCACGGTGATGCAGCTACACGCTTGCTTTTTGAACCCGTCCACACCTTAGCCTTGGGAGCCTTGGCCTTGGCCTCAGTGCTCTTGCTGGCCTTGGGAGTCTGTGGCGGCCCTCCCTTGGGGGCCTGGCGGGTGGCGCGCTGAGGGGTGGGGAGCACCTGTGGTTGCGTCGCAGCAGCAGATAGAGGCCCCAGATGAGACAATGCTGGTTTACGCATGAAAGGCAACTAGGAGGAACACTGATACATGAGTTTATCAATTCAGAGTGAGCAAGTGCGAAGATCAGATTGCCGCCTTCTGTGATTCAAGGAGGATTGCAGCTGTGACGCATGCAGAGGATTACAACCTGCGCCCTCTGCCGCCCGCAGCCCCGGCCCGCCTCACCTCCTTCTCTGCGCCCTCCTTCAGACCGTGCAGGCTGGCGAAGCTGTTGGCCAGCAGGCTCTTGGCCACTTGGTCGGCGGTGACCTCGGCACTGCTGCAGGGCCTCAGGTCCTGGCGGAGTGGGGGATGGGGGCAGGGAGAGGGGGATCGGCAACAGGCGGTCATACGACTGCCGTTGCAGCAAACAGCACCAGAGGAAGGCTGGCGCGTTTGAAACGTGATAAATTTGTGCGTTAGATCTGCATGCATGCGCGTGTGCGCACGCACTCACGCACGCACGCACGCACGCACAGACACACACACACACACACACACACACACACACTCCTGCCATGAGCCCTTCTCTGCAAAGCAAATGAACACCATCGCCGCACGCTGCACATGCACCAACCTTGATGGTATTACGATGCCCGGCCGGGGCCCACCCGCCCTGCATGGCACAGGAGGGAAAGTGCGCGCGTGGCCGTGAGGCGGCTGGACTGTGCACTGAGCAGCCCTCTGAGATGGCCGTGCTATACACTGCAGTGACCAGAAATGCAAACCGAGGGCAAGATCAGTGCACATTCCTCCATGCCCGCGTGCGCACGGGACGCTGCGGTGCTGCGGGGGCGCCGCACACACCTTGTCCGCATTTCGGCGGCACTGCATGTGCGCAGCTGCGCGCGCATCCGTCACCATCTTGTTGCCCGGTGAGTAGGTCAGCTTTGTTCAACACAACGTGGTCGCACTGGGCGCTCAGGGGTAGCTGCTCTTGTGAACTGCTGAACAGCGGGCCGAGGGAGGAGGGTGCAGGAGCGCGCAACGCGTCAGCAGCGGTGCAGCTCGCTGCGCGGGACGGTAGGTGGGCTGCCGCCGCGCAGCAGGGCCTTCTTGCGGGTCATTGGTGGTTATGTTTCTCGTATAATGGCCGTAAAGCATGCGAACAAGCTTGCTTGGGGCCTGTGGGGCGCTCAACCCGCTCGGAAACGGGTGCATGCTTCGCGGGCAAAGGCTTAGATGTCGTCCCTACCACAAGCTTCTCATGATGATTATCAATTGGCAAATGACGAGCTGGCCGAGAGTTGTGGGCCTGCTCCCGTCTCTGCAGTCGGAGCTGGGGTCGTCGGGTCCAACTTCCTTCGGCACACTGCAGGTGGTCTGTCCTTTCGTTTTGGTACATTTCCAGAATTTAAACGCTCAGTGTGTGTCACAAGAGGGCCTCGGGGCGGCGCCGAGGCCTGGCAGGGTGTCATGTGGGCACGACAGCAATTTCAGGACATAGTTCAGCCGGCTGCAGGTACCCATACCTTGAATAGCATGATACAATATCGCAGCAGTCACCCAGTGTACATAAAGGAATGTGCTGGCCCCAACTACACGCTCAGCTAGTGCAGCACGCGACACCACAGAAGGCAGGCATGGCTTGCCGGTGTGCGTGCCGGCCGCATGCGCCCTGGACCAACCTTGACAAGTGCGGCCACCCCCATCATGAGGACTGTCCCTGCAGACGGCCTGGTGGGACGCCACGAATTGTTGCTGTGCAGCCAAGCCATGCAGCCTGCTGATCCGGCTCCGCGCCCACCAGCAGCCTAAATGGCTGTGGGCGTGCACTGCGTTGCGCTGATGTGTTGATTGCCCGTGGCGGCGCCTGCTCGTGCTCGAGGCGCACGCATCGCGCGGCCGACGCAGGGAGCTGTCCAACTGTCACAGCACAGCGCCTGCCGCGACATATCCATGTAGGCTGTCTGTGTCACAGAGACGTGCAAGGTTGGAACAGCACCAGGCAGCACTTTGGGGAGACTTCAATGCTGGCAACACCAGCGCTACGCACAGCGCTCGAAGCGATGGCAGCACAACAAGAAGGGGCAACTCTGGCGAAATCAGGTCACCCTGTGTACTTCGTCTGTGTAAGGATCAATGATTACTCACAATTCTGAGTGACTCGCGATCTGTGGGTGCTCGCCACATGATCAAAGGCATATCATACATCAGTCAAATGATTGAACGATTCGCATACAATATCATAAACCGCAATCTAAGAGCCTCGACGCCTACTCTGATGAACCCAATATTGCCTGAAGTCAGCGGATATTGATAGAAGCCCTGTGCCAGCCATCAACAGTACGGGATATGGTGAAGTCGGATGGATCGAGGGCGGCAGGCGAGTATGGGCCTGCTGGCGCAGTGCACACAGTCAATTGGCTCCTGCATGCACGCACAGCGCTGAAAGCGACCACCCTGGGCTGTGACGAGCCTCTAGAATGGATAGCTGAGCGGCCTTGCGCTGCGGTGCCGCCTGACATCAGGCTGGCGCCCACAACGCGGGGCCGCATGAGGTACACCATCAAACACACCGAGCCCCTAGTCTGCTTGCGGCCCTGCGTTCCTGCGTTTGCGCCCTGCCGTCTTGGGCATGCTAGGCTAGTGGGTCCGCACACGCGTGTGCAAACAAATCATCACCAATGTACTGCTCAGGCTGCTCGTACCAGTGCTGATGCCGCTGGTGGCGGGGACCTGCACAGCAGCTGCAGCTCAACCCACGTTCCTGCAAGGACAGCGCGGGGCAGCCTCTTGCCAGCTCAGCGCATCGGTGAGCTGTTGTTGGAGGAGCAGCCCACCAGGGTGGCGGTGGTGGTGGATGCGCCCTTCAAGGCGGTGCGGGCTGCGGCAACGCCTGTGCAACGGTCGGGCGCGTGCAGGGGTGCTGCCAGGTTCAGTGCTGACCCGCCCAGAACAGGCAGTACGAAGGCAACCCTGACGAAGCAGCAGCAGAAGCAGGAGCAGGAGCAGGAGCAGGAGCAGCATGCACCTTTGACAGATGCCGTTGCTGGGCTTGAAAATAATTCCAGTGACCAGCGGCTGCCACCAGCAATTGGGACAGGCAGGCTGAGGCTATCAAGGGCAGCGACAGGCATCGGCACGTGTGCTGGCGTGAGAGGCGACATACGCGCTAGCAACTTCCGTTCGGCAGCATGCGGCAAGACAACCGTTGCAGGGCGGCTGCAGCCCCCGACGACATCAACCTGTCAGACTGGAGTGAGCGGCGCCAACACTGGCGGGGCCAGCGGCATGGTTGCAACGCGGCCGCTTGGCCGCCTTCCACCAGTGCCACGAGGCGCAGCAAAATCCGCTCCGCCACATGCCCAGCAGCTGCAATCCCTTGGCATTCACCTTAGAAAGCCCGCCACCGCGCCTGCAGCGCCAAACGGCCGTGCGCGGGGTGCAGCAGGCGCTGCATCAACACCCGGGATGCCGCGGCTGCCGTCCCTCGTGCGACCGCCCAGCGCCATGGCTCCCGCAGCAGGGGCCGTGGTGCAAGACGGGGATGCGGCGGGAGCGACTGGGCTGGGGCGCAGTGGCAGCAGAAGTAATGGTGGCAGCGGAAATGGTTGTGGTCAGCCGAACACTGGCAGCAACAGCAGCAGCAGCAGCAGCAGCAGTCTGGCTGCCACCACATCGCCGGCTACCGAGGATGCCGAGCGTAGCGAACTTCAGGCGTATACACGCTTGGACCGCAGTGCTGTGCCGCTTGCCGGGGCCTCAGCATGTGTTCCAGGATGTGGGAGCGCTTTTGATTCGCTGGCAGCATCCCTGGCGCTCCTGGACGCCACTGCGTCGCGCGCAGGCGCAGCGTTGTCAGCCGCCTTGGATGACGCAATCCAAAATAGGCGGGGCCTGGCGCAGGCAGAGAGCAACGGGGCCCTTGGCAGCTTCCAAGAGGCGCAGCCGGTGCCGTGCGACGAGGCAGCCTCCACCATTGGGTCTCGTGGACGCAGCATGAGCAGGGCCAGCAGCAGCAGACCTGCATGCGGCGCAGATGCTGCAACTGCACCCACCATAACACATGCGTGCCAGGATGCACTCAGCAGCAGCAGCACCAGCAGCAGCACCAGCAGCAGCAGGCAGCCAATCGCATCGCCAGCAGCCACGCAACATGCTTTTGCAGGGGCAGGCATGGCAGCAGACGCACACGAGGCGCGGCAGCCAGGGCTCCCACAGCCTCCTTCCCCCGCCGCGGCCAGAGCACACCCCAGCAGCGACGGGGCCTGCCGTGGTGCACGGGGTGGCGCGCCATGCCGGGGGCTGGCCTCCAGGGACCCGCTCAGCGCCGTTGTGCGCCAGCTCAACTGCACCGCCAGCAAGCTGCGCCAACTGCAGGTCTCAGCAAGTGGTGGCCTGGGCGGCGGCAGCATGAGCTGGGCTCCTGAAGAGGCGATGGGTGCCACACAGCCAGTCAGGCCTTTGGGGGACGGTGCGGCACGCGTTGATGTGTTGACGCGCCTGGCGCGCCTACACCAGCGCCTCACTGACGCCGAACTGCAGCTGGATGGATACTTATGCGCAGGAGGCTGCGCAGGTGGTTTGAGTGAACCAGATGCGAGAGGTCCAGTGGCATGCGGTCGGGTCACCTCAACCTGCAGCACCAGGGTTGTTGAGGCTGGCAGGTGCGGGGACGCCTGCACACCCGCTACTGACAACGGTGGAGAGCTGGATGAGGCAGCCAGCATGTGCAGCATCCCGGCTGGTGGCGGTAGTGCGAGCACCTCTGCTGATCCCGGGCAGCGGCAGCAGCAGCAGCAGCAGCAGCAGCAGCAGCAACAGCAGCATGATGCATGGGAGCACGTGCAGGTTGGCGGGGCCGCGTCCGCAATGCAAGGTGGTGCATCCAGCAGGCCGCTGGAATCATACTGCAGCTCTTCATCTGCGTCAACCGCACCTTCTGAAGAGCAAAAGCACCAGGAGTGCAGCGGCGGCATGCACGCTGGCAACGGCTCCCTTGAGCCAGCCACAGAATTCTTCCGTTCGAAGCTGCCACCTGATCCGTTTTGCTGCTACTAGAACAAGCTGTAACCCGCATCCCTCCTCAATTGGAGCGCCGCTGCGGCTGCGCGGTTCTGATGTCGCAGCTTCGTACTAAGAGATTACTCATGATAACAGGTGGACACCGGCCACCGCACCAGGCCAGCGGCGCCATCTCACATATGACACTTGATCCGTTGCTCAAGGGCACTGCTGATTCACGACACGGTATACAAAGTAGCATGCGATCTCTCCTGGCGCGCGTGGCAGATCACTGCATTCAAACGAGGTCGCACGCCAACCGGCATCAACTAGCCACTCATCAGAAAGCTTTTGGAGGGGCTTGCTGACGCTCGTTGGTACCCAGGAGGTGCGCGTGCTGTGCGCGCAGCGTTCTGAAATCAGCTATCAGCGCGCCTGCTCCCTTCCGCAATGGTTTTGGATGCGTTAAATTCGACGTTTTAATACGCGCCCATGCAGCAACGCCTGGCAAAGGGGGCATGGGTGGTGTCGCACCAGCAAGCAGCAGCGGCGGTGCATGCGCCGAAATGATTTGAGGAGCACACCTCCACAGACGCACGGTACGCTGGTGCCATCTCGGCCTTCACATCGCAGGCTGAAGCCTGTGTATCTTCGGTCCCGGCAGCGTGGCGCTCACGTTAAGGCCGAGCCCACAGCGGCGCCGGCCGCCGGTGCCGTGGCGCCGAGCGCCAGCGGCCGCCACGGCGCCGCTGGCCACGCGCCCCTGCCGCCGCAGCAGCCGCGGCAGCCGCCGCATCCGCGCGTCGCGATGGAAGTCTCCTTTCCAGAGGACTGGCCGGACGATACGCCGGAGATGCGGCGCCTGGACAGGGCGCTGCGCTGCAACATCTGCCGCGACTTTCTCGAGGGGCCAGTGTCGCTCGGCTGCGGCCACGCCTGTGAGAAGCCGCGCTCCTGCAGCCGGCAGGGACCACCACGTCGGCCGCCGGTCCCGCCATGCCTGGAGCTGGCTGAAAAACTTCCACCTTTTTAGCAACGCAGCCATCTCGGCGGCTAACCTCTGTGCAATTGCCGCATCGTTCCCGCAATCGCGCTGTACCGCAGTCTGCTCCCAGTGCATCCGCAGCAACCTGGATTTCAAGTCGACGAACCAACAGAAGGCTGCGTGCCCAGAGTGCCGCGCCCCGGCGGACGCCTCAGACCTGCGCCCAGTGATTGCCTTGAGGGAGGCGTGCGCCACGTTCTCGGCATGCAGGGGCCTGCTGCTGGACGCGTGGGCGGCCAGGGCGCGGCTGCTGGCGCCGGAGGAAGCGGGCGACGGGGTCACTGCGGCAGGGACGCCCGAGGCAGCTGGTCGGCCTGGCAATGCGGCGGACGGGCCGCAGGTGCGGCGGCCGAACAGGCAAAGGGAGATGGCGCGGCAGCATACGCCTGCAGGGGGCAGCAAACAGGCTGCTGCTGCCGCGATTGCGCGAAAGCGTCCCAGAGACGAGGCTCCTGCCGCGCCGGCCATACCAGTCGCACATGCCGCGGCAGCCATCGAGCAGCGGCAGGCGCGCAGGCAGCGCAGCAGCAGCGGCGGCATCGATGGCGACGGCGACCGTGGGGCCAACTGTGGCGCCGAGAGATCCGGTGATGACGATTTCTGTCAGCCACGCTCCCGGCGCCAGCAGCGCCACCGACCTCAGCAGCAACAGCAGCAATTGCAGCAGCAACAGCAGCAGCAGCAACAGCAGCAGCAGGACCGACCGGAGTCCGTCTGCAGGCTGCGACGGCGACATGCGGCGATGGCAAACGGCACAGACGGCGCCAGCGGTGCCCATGGAGGGGCCAGCAGCGATGAGGAGGGCGACGGCGGCGGCGCTCGGCCGACGTCCAGCGGCAGCGACGAGTCATGGCACGCGTCGGACGAGCCGGAGGAAGAGGAGGGCGGCGGCGGCGACGGCGGCTCGCCCCGGCGGCCGGTGACTGGCGGCGGCAGGCGTGGCGGCGAGGGCGGCGGCGGTGGCAGTGCGAGCCCCAATATTGAGGTGGTTGAGATTGATATGGAGGTCGACAGCGACGCCGGCGATACAGAGCTGCCGCCTACCTCTGGCGGCGGGCGCGGCGGGGGCTCAGCAG